GAACACAAAGCTCTGCGTGTTTGGAACGAGCTGCTTGCAGCTCCAACAGCCCCAAATATGCCTGCGGTCAGAGCAAGGACTTATGGGTCACTGGCCAGAATTATGGGTAATGTTAAGAAGGGGGAGGGGCAGAGAGCCATGCCCACTATGATAATGAAGGTAGGAAGATACTGTAAGTATTAATGTAGAATTTTTACTTGGTGTTTGTTGTATTCTGTCACTTAAAGATGTTTTACAGTACAGTTCAAAATTTGGGGTCTGTAAGATTTTTATCATTACTCCAGTCTTCAGTGTCACATGATCAATATATTATATTTTATACAAGACAAGACATTTTATACTTATTATTATTATTATCAATGCTGACAACAGTTGTGCTGCTTTATATTTTTGTGGCAATCATGGTACATTACTTTCAGAATGATTTGGTTAGTAGAAAGTTTTTTAACTTTCCACTAACCAGATAATTCTGTAAATAATGTACCATGATTTGCACAAAAAATATAAAGATCATGTTTAAAGATCATGTTTTAATGATTTCAAAATAAATGTTATTCTCACTTTTGTCAATTTAATGTACTCTCATCAAATAAAATGATCAATTTCTTCAAAGAAAATCTTGCTGACACCAAATTTGTTTAATAGTAGTGTACATTGTAAAGATTTTTATCTACTGTTTAGATTTTTATATACTGTAAGATATTTATTTTAAATAAATAACAAGACAATCCAAATCAATGTGATATTGTGCCTCATAATTGTTAAATAAAGTGTTATTTTCTTAGAAACCAATGTATATCTGGGAATATAAAACACTGTAAATTGTTGTTTTTCACCTGTAAATAGCCATTTTATTTAATAAATATGATAAAACAGTGATAAAATAATTTACAGACATTATGTCATCCTAATGAAAAATGCTGGGAAAAGGAGTTGACTCGACTTATTTTTAGTAGAAACTTCAATGTCATAGAATCAAAATCTTATTTACTGATTGATATTTAGCAAAATATGTACAGAAACGTATTACTGTAAAGCATATTTGTACATAGACACTGTAAATGTTACATTACATACCTCAAAACCTCCAATAATCAGTAAAGCGTTAATGTTGTGAATCTTCATCTGTTCTGCAATTTTATCAATGTGTTTTGCTGGAAGAGTTCTGAAAGGATACCAGAAAAAATCCTATTCATTGCATACATGCATATCAGTGTTTTTTTTTTATTGACAATAGGCCCTTAGAAATATAATCTTACCTTTTTGTTCCTAGCAGGGACCCGCCCTGGCCTGTCCAGCCCCCAACATCACCCCACTTGATTTCTTTTATCTGCGAGAAAGCAGGAAAAAAAAAACAAAAAAAAACAAGGAGCACATATGGGATGGACATTTGCTTTAACTCCTGTATCTCTTCATCTGTTACACAAAGCAACAGAGAATCTTTGTGAAATGGCTGGAGACACATACAATCAAATATAATTGTCCAAATAAGCAAGAAAATGCCTCAAACATGCATTTAAATGGCAAACATGCATTATCGCCATTAGCAGCATTACCTCTGAAAGAGTAAAGTAGTATCGAGCAGATCTGTAATGCTATACACTAGGTTAATTATGGCACTGAGCACAATGCAGCAGGGGATTGTGGGATGGAATAATGGGCTTACTGTAATCATGACTCTTTATCTCATTTGGGAAGGGATTGATTTACATACACACGTCCATATGCAGACTTGTAGTGTTTCACAGACTGGGGTTGCCACCAGATTCTTTGCAAAATTATTTGTCAGAATTGAATGGCATTTCCACCACTGCTTAAATCATATATTGTATTTGACAACATTAAACATTTTAAACAATTTTAGAATAAAACATCAGATTCCTTAGTCTTGCTAGGGCTAATTTTTCACAAAATATTCATTATATTTTAACACTTTTTTTATAATTTGACAAAATTAAATTAGAAAGTAATTGGAATTTTTGCACAACAAATGATAGTGATTATAATATTCAAAATAATTATATTCTGTTCTCAAGTGATATTTACCTTGATTTTGCTGGTTTTACCTTGATTTTCAAATATATTTGTAAAAACATTTTGAAATAGTTCTGAATTATTTCACTCTTCATTTTGGATTATCATACTTTCAAAAAAAAAAAATCTATAATATTTTTTATAATGGATATTCCTGATTTAAAATTGAAAGTCTGTGTCTGGGAGAAGAAAAAAACTATTATTATTATTATCTATGATTATCTATTAGCATCTACATAAAAAGTATTTGAAAAGTGCCAAAAATACATGATGAAACATCATCAACATAAAAATGCCCATAATTAACAAAACACCAATTAAACATAATGGTCTGTTAGTTTGCGTTGCATTACCTGTCCCTTATAGAAGCCCTCAAATCCATCATTTACAGCAAACAAAGTGTGGCCTTCGGTGATCCCCACCCTGACGGCCGAACGCACGGCTGCATTCATGCCAGCTGCAGGAGCGCCAACATTCAACACAGCCACGTTAAATGAGCTCTAGAGAAGAGAAGAGAGCATTATCACACAACTAAACACACAATCCCCTGAGTCCTCTCATTCATGAAGTCAGGCCTGCGTCTCAAAGTGAGTCACATGACCTCAAAGGTTTATAGAGCAGAACGATTTGGAGTCTAATCTGCTGCACAACAGAAACACAGAACAAAATCCTGGATTAAGCTGCATTTGTGTGATTGAGTAAATTGCTGCAGAAAACATCATGACTATGTACAAAGATTATTCAGTCTTTCTTCCTACACTCACAAACAGGTAAATATCAGGAAAGAATGCTGTGAAAATAAATCTACATTGTTTATCCCTTTGATCTTTCATTAAAAAAATTCACAATCTAACCTTTCACTGAAGTAAAACAATATATTATATTATTATATTTTATACTTGAGAAAAATATTATATTTTATACTTGGAACAAATCAATCAAATGCTTACTAAGGAAAAAAATAGTAAAAGGAACTTCAGGAATCTATCAGATGAAAAGGCATTCAATATTCAATTCTATTCTATTCTACTCTATTCTATTTGTATATTTAATTTCCATGTACATACATGTCCTTCCTGTGTTCCATCCTCATCCCCGCAAAAGAAAATAAATAAACATATTGAGCTGTCAGTGTCACAGAAATAGGCTAAGTCAAAGGAGATATGTTATACACAATATTATTAATAATAATAAGATGAAAGTCATTATCACTTACATGTGGAAGTTCAGTATCAATTTTGTGATGGGACAGGAGTTTGTAAGTGTTCCGGTTGTTTTCGAAACTTCTAAAAATTTACAAAGAAAAACGAAAAAAGGATCTAAAAAGTCATTCAGACATTTTCTGTTAGGTTTAAAGCACAAAAAGTAAGATGACCCGCTTTACTTTTGACATTGACATCTGCTCTGTAAAATGATGATTTTTGCAGTTTACCTGCCACGCAGTTTTACAGCTTCTTCAAATCGCTTTTCATCCATGGCCTTCTGAACCTCCTGTGTCTGCAATACGACAAACAATATATTTCCTGAGAACTTCAACACATTTACATTTAGTCATTTTGCAGACGTTTTTATCCAAAGTGACTTACAATTGGGGAATACATAAAGCGATTC